TTTAACCGTTTCAATACCGTGCAATTTTACACCTTCCTGCCCAGGCCAGTTTTCAGGTTTCAGCACTTTCACACTTTGAATGACAATTGTGCGGTCATACAACATTGTACCCAAACTAAAATTTGATCATTTTCTTCACACAACTAGAGCTTTCTTTTGGTGGTATTTAATCACCGCTGGGGTTTTTATTTTTTGCTAAATTAACAAAAAAAGACCAAAAATTTTGAAAAAAAAAACACATTTTTTTTCTTTGTTTCTGTTATAAAAGTTTACAAATAAATAATTGTTCTTCATAAATTTAGGCCGAGATGTATTCTGCTACATGTCTTTGGTGAAAATAACCCAAATTAGGATGTATTTTTTAGTTTGTAGGAAAGTTATAGAGTTCACAAACTATGGTATAGATCTGAATATTGATCAATCCTGAAGTACTGACAGCCAATCTAATTTCTTGAGGTCCAAGAATGTCAGAACAGTACAGATATCCCACAAATGACCCCTTTTTGCAGAGTAGACAGTCCCGACGTACTTCATAAGAGGCATGGTGAGTTTTTTGAAGTTGTATTTTTTTGTCATAATTTTTTCGGAAAATGAAAAAATTAAAAAAAAATTATTTTCACTATTTTTTTTTTACATACTGTCACCAGTGCAGTACAGCGTCATCATATAACTGGCATGGCGGTGAACAGCGACACTGACTGGTGACAGTATGAAAAAAAAAAAAAATATATATATATTTTTTTTTAATTTTTTTTAATTTTTTTATTATATTTAATTTTTTATTACATTTTTTTTTTTTTTTTTTTAAGATTTTTTTTTCATATTTTACTATGACCAAAATAGTACAATGTTACCATAGTAACACTGTACTACTTTGGGAAAGTGATCAGTATTTTTTTTTTTTTTTTTTACACAATTTGCTTATAGCAAAGAATTACTTTGCTATAAGCAAGCATTTACCTGAATGAAATCGATTCATTCAGCTTTTTTTTTTTTTTTGTGCTTAGCTGTGATTTGGTCACAGCTAATCACATGACATGTGCATGTGATTAGCTGTGACCATTCACAGCTAGGCACTAGTATACAATGGATGGCATCATGAATGAAGCCATCCATTGTATACAACTGTCATGTGACCTGCTGTGATTGGTCACAGCAGGTCACATGGTACCGGCAACGGGAGCCGGTACTCGGATCTGTTATCGGCCGTGTCCGAGGTGCACGGGCGGTGACAGATCGCACTGCTGCGTCGCTCTGCAACCGCGCAAACCGCGCATGTGCGGGAGCACGCCAAATGGCGTGCACCCGGAAAGCTGCAGCGCTTTTCAAGCCGCCAAATGGTCAATTGGCCGGGCGGCTAATGGTTAATAGCAAAAAGTCAAAATTATAGTTTTTTTCTCAAACCTATTGGTCTTTTTTTTTTTATAGTGCAAAATATAAATAACACACACAAGTGATCAAATACCACTGAAAGAAAGCTCAACTTGTGGGAAAAAAAGGACGTAAATTTAATTTGGGTGCAGCGTAGCATGACTGCGCAATTGTCAGTTAAAGGAACGCAGCGCCGTATTGCAAAAAATATCCTGGTCAGGAAGGGGGGTAAATCCTCTGGAGGGCAAGTGGTTAAGCTTACTCTCAGTAGTTTTAATAGCAAGGTTCTGTAAGTAAATACACAGTTAATTGGATATGAAAGAAATCACTCTCCTCCCTTGTTTTACATTTTTGTGCTTCCATTGCGGATAAAAGGCACTGTGTGTTTATTATACAAAAAAAATCACTTATCTCATGCCTTATTTATTTACCTATGTTAGTCCAAACAACACCAAAAAGTTTGAACAGTCCATCAGAAGCAGTAGGTCTAAATGGCTTACTGTTTAAAAATTGTCTGGAAATATGTTTACTTAGCGGATGAAGAAGTGCGGGTGTGAGTGAAAGAGACAAGGGAACATGGGCTGTCTACTGATCTGGTGTTTTGTAATAAACGACCTCACCACTTCAAATGCGGGAAGCCGGAATTAAGGAAAGAACTTAAACTGCTATGCATTCTAAACCACATTGCTTCAAGTTCACTTTCTCAGTCATACATATTTGTTAGTGTAGACCTTTACAATCTCCTTGTGGTTTTCATGGTCATTTTCTTTCATGCTATTTAATTTGTGAAGTTTGTATTCACTTCTTTTTGTTTCTCAATAAAACTGTGTTTTTTCAGTACTTGTTCAAAATAAATATATAGAATGTTTGATTTTTGCGTTTTGTAGAACGTGATTGTTTGCTCCAATGTTAAGGGGTGGATGTGGATTCTAAAAGACAGATCCTGGTATTAATCACTTGTAGCATTTGCACACACAAAAAAGCTTCTAAGACTAAGGAGCATCCTTTTTACTAGGTATAGCAGTATATCACCCCAGTAGGCTGAAACTATCAGACTATCCTACAGACAAGTGTCTGCATACCTGTATCAAGGTTGAATTAAATTCTAGCACTATTTTATTTCAGTCATTACAGTATTTGTTTCAAATTTTTATAGAAAAAAAAAATACACCTAAAATCTTCCAGATTGTTAGGAAAATTATCATTGTCTCATTTTTGTGTACTGTGGCAGACACTGTACCGGTATTCTGCCAGCTGCCAGCGAGGGGACATTTATCCATCTGTGCTGTTAGAAAGGATAGAGGAATTTGGTAGCTTTTTTTGCTCAGTGTACGGCCATCTTTAGTATGTTTAATTTAGCATGTGTGGAGTCAGCACTTCAGAATATAGAGAGCAACATGTCTGTAGACCATAACTGGAACAAAAAATCTATAGGGATCCCTCTAGAGCTACATTCTTCTTTCCACAACTAGCTGGCTGGAATCACATGAGACAGGCAGAGCTTCTTTACCCTTTTTATTTCTGGTAGTTTTTATTGTTTTAAGAAAGGACAAAGAATTACACTCATTCATATAAAAACAGAGGCCTGGGTAAGGCACAGTGATACATTTTGAAAATATTTGCATACAAAAAATACAATATTCAACGTCAGGAAATATAAATCAATACCGGATCCTGGAGCCTATTGTTATATTTGTTCGGTATAACCGGTTGGGGCAGTGGTTGCAGGAAAAAAAAAACTGCTCAATTCCCACATCAACACAGTCAATGCTGATGGGGGAGTCCCTCCCATGAAGCTATTGTGTTCTCCCAGCAGGGAGGTTGGGGAAGGGGGGGGTGGGTGCATCCCTGCTGGGGAGAACACAGTGATTATTGCTAATGGCTAAAGATAGTGGTAGTAGTCGCATGAAAAATCCAATAGGCAGGTTGTACCCAAGCCGTACAACAGTCGAATTGGGTACAATCAGCCTGCCCATAGCTGGTTCAGCAGGGACTGGACAAGATTCAAACCATCTATGGCTCACTTTACACTGCCACCAGATGAAGCTTGTCACTTGCCACTAAAGCTTGTCACTTGCCACTGAAAAGCCTGCCACCAGATGCAGCTTGTCACTTGCCGCTAATGCTTGTCACTTGCCTCTTTAAAGCCTGCCACCAGATGCAGTTTGTCGGGGTTTTCTCTATTTGTATGATTTTGTTGTGTTTGCAGCTTCTCCCCAGTGCTACCATCCTCACCCCTCAGCTGCACCTCAGACCTCTGGCATTAAATTCTCAAGAAGTAGGAACCCTAGGATGCCGTACTTGCACAGTATACACTGGGTTCATGCTCCTATGAAATTCTCATGTCGCTGCTGATCTCACAGGAGGTGGAGCGGTGATACTAGCAGTTGTAAACACACAGCATGCGTCGCTCACTTGCTCGTCCACCATGCACCACTCACCTCCTGCTGTGCCTGTGCAACGCGGTTCCCAACAGGCCATGGACCGGTACTGGTCCGCATCCTGGGGGTTGGAGATCCCTGCTGTAAACCATAGCATCTCTGCAATGAACAGAGATTGATTGGACTTTGGCATATGCAAAAGTTCTTTCTTAAAACGTGATCATCCACATTGTACACAAACAATAATATTTTCTTGGACACCGATCATGACACTACTATGAGGGGGGGAGTGACCTTTTTAAAATATTAGTTGTCTGTCTTTGCCTTTAATACATAAAGAATACATTGCAACACATGAATGATGGAGAAAATTAGAAGCCCTTATAGCTATAAAGCATTGAAACCTAAGCATCAACATGACAGGAGAGCTAAGCAACTAACTTTTATGAAAGGGGGTCAGTAATGACAGCCTACCTGTTTTTCTCTTGACAGTTTTTCTCTAAGCATATTTGTATGCGCTCTAAACCAGTTCCTGTGAAGTAACTGATGGCACAGTGTAGACTGTCTTTGTGATTTGTTGCTGTCACACTCCATGAGCACAGTTGTAACCTTTATTGTAGGAGTGCTTTGCACTGGGCATCAAGTCTTGTGCCTGTTACCTACACTTGATTAATAGTTTGACCTGCAGGGTCTTGAAGGGCATTGCTCATGGGCTGCTAGAACCTGACAAGTACATTCTCGATACTATTCATAATTCTGTGTTCTTTACACAACAATTGCATAAAGCCATGAAATCTTGAAACACACACCCAGATTTTTTAAGTAAACCTGGAGTTGATTTAGGGATAAAAAAGTTCACTTTTGTTAAACAGTATCTAATATTTTCTGTACCGTTGGCTGTGTTTGGTATACATGCATGTTTTGCGCAGTGGTTTTTCACCTTTCAGGAAAAACTATTTAGAAACTAATTACAATTATGATAGCACAGTAAAAAGATCATGGCCCATTCACTACAACAGTTCAATTAATCATGCTTCGGTATCTGTCTACAGTAGACTTAGCTTGAGTACAGTGTTCATATACTGTATATAAACACTGCAGATTAACCTAGCAGATCAATTTTTTAATGCAAGTTAGAACATGAAAAGCATCACCTTCTTGCTTACTTTCTTTTTATAGCAGACCACTCATTGTTTTGCTTGTGTAAAATTTTGACAAACCTTAAAATTGGCATATTGTCTTTTTGACATGGTACTTCCACTTGGTTCTTCATTAGTTTCTTTTTTTTCAACCAGAATTATAAAGACAGCAAATCAATCACATTTTTTTTATTCTCATTTTTTTCCAGGATACCTTGAAGACAGTTTTGTAAAGTCTGGAGTTTTCAATGTTTCAGAGCTAGTACGGGTGTCTAGAAGTAAGTAAAGATTGGCATTCTCTGAACCCTGCCTTTTCTCTAGGTGACATCCAGCTTATTCAAATTTCACAAGGTTTTACATACACAACGACGCTAACCACTTGTCTATTGAGGCAAATTTTTAATTTTTCACACATATAGTAAAACTTTAACCCCCCCCAAACAATTATATATTTTCTGAAAGCATAGACCCTGGAGAATAACATGGTGGTAGTTGCAATTTTTTATGTTGCAGCTATTTATCAAATGCATATTTTCAGGAAGAAAATACAACAAAATGAATTTCAGTGCTAATAAACACAATATTATGCAGATTTTTTGGTAAAATATAAAAGTTGGGGTTGTGTTAAGTAAATAGATGACAAACATGTTAAGTCTTAAAATAAAAGTGCACATCTGTGAAATTGCAAAAAAATATGGTACCCCAAATTATACATAGGTGACAATTTAAAAGCCTTTACAGGTTTTCAGTTTAGAGTTAACCACTACTTATGGCCCTAGAATTATCGCTGTCACTCTGATGTTCATGGCAACACTTCACATGTGTGGCGCACTTTATGTTTACAGAATTTTATGTGGTGCTTTTCAAATAGGATATCTACAGGGATGACGGGAGTACATTACAAATAAATAAATATATATATATATATACACAGTATCTCACAGATGTGAGTACACCCCTCACATTTTTGGAAATATATTATTATATCAATGTAAAGTAGTGAGTGTACAGCTTGTATAACAGTGTAGATTTACTGTCCCTTCAAAATAACTCAACACACAGCCATTAATGTCTAAACCACTGGCAACAAAAGTGAATACACCCCTAAGTGAAAATGTCCAAATTGGGCCCAAAGTGTCAATATTTTGTGTGGCCACCATTCAATTTGAGAATGCCCCACAGATGCTCAATAGGGTTTAGGTGTGGGTACATGCTTGGCCAGCCCATCACCTTTACCCTCAGCTTCTTTAGCAAGGCAGTGGTCATCTTGGAGGTGTGTTTGGGGTCGTTATCATGTTGGAATACTGCCCTGTGGCCCAGTCTCTGAAGGGAGGGGATCATGCTCTGCTTCAGTATGTCACAGTACATGTTGGCATTCATGGTTGCCTCAATGAACTGTAGCTCCCCAGTACTGGCAGCACTCATGCAGCTCCAGACCATGACACTTCCACCATCATGCTTGACTGTGGGCAAGACACACTTGTCTTTGTACTCCTCACCTGATTGCCGCCACACACGCTTGACACCATCTGAACCAAACGGGTTTATCTTGGTCTCATCAGACCACAGGACATGGTTCCAGTAATCCATGTCCTTAGTCTGCTTGTCTTCAGCAAACTGTTTGCGGGCTTTCTTGGGCATCATCTTTAGAAGAGGCTTCCTTATGGGACTACAGTCATGCAGACCAATTTGATTCAGTGTACGGCATATGGTCTGAGCACTGACAGGCTGACCCACCCACTCCTTCAACCTCTGCAGCAATGCTGGCAGCACTTATACGTCTATTTCCAAAGACAACCTCTGGATATGATGCTAAGCACATGCACTCAACATCTTTGGTTGACCATGGCAAGGTCTGTTCTGAGTGGAACCTGTCTTGTTAAACCTCTGTATGGTCTTTGCCACCGTGCTGCAGCTCAGTTTCAGGATCTTGGCAATCTTCTTATAGCCTAGGCCATCTATATGTAGAGCAACAATTCTTTTTTTCAGATCCTCAGAGAGTTCTTTGCCATGAGGTGCCATGTTGAACTTCTAGTGACCAGTATGAGAGAGTAAGACAGATAACACCAAATGTAACACACCTGCTCCCCATTCACACCTGAGACCTTGTAACACTAACGAGTCACACAGGGGTGGACTGACAACTCATGGGGCCCACGGGCAATAGGGGATCATAGGCCCCTGTGTCCTTGCCCAAACTCAAACAATCCTATGAAAAAGGTACCAGGGGCATCGCATGGGGCCTCCTACTGACCCTGGACCCCTCGGGCAGTGCCCGAGTTTCCAAATGGTCAGTCCGCCCCTAGAGTCACATGACACTGGGGAGGGAAAATGGCTAATTGGGTACAATTTGGACATTTTCTCTTAGGGGTGTACTCACTTTTGTTGGCAGCGGTTTAGACATTAATGGCTGTGTGTTGAGTTATTTTGACGGGACAGCAAATTTACACTGTTATACAAGCTGTATACTCACTATGTCACATTGTAGCAAAGTGTCATTTCTTCAGTGTTGTCACATAAAAAGATATAATAAAATATTTACAAAAATGTATATATATATATACACTGTATTGCCAAAGGTATTGGGACGCCTGCCTTTACTCGCACATGAACTTTAATTGCATCCCAGTCTTAGTCCGTAGGGTTCAATATTTAGTTGGTGCACCCTTTGCAGCTATAACAGCTTCAACTCTTCTGGGAAGGCTGTCCACAAGGTTTAGGAGTATGTCTATGGGAGTGTTTGACCATTCTTCCAGAAGCGCATTTGTGAGGTCAGGCACTGATGTCGGACGAGAAGGCCTGGCTCTCAGTCTCCACTCTGATTCATCCCAAAGGTGTCCTGTCGTGTTGAGGTCAGGACTCTGTGCAGGCCAATCAAGTTCCTCCACCCCAAACTCATTCATCTATGTCTTTTTGGATCTTGCTTTGTGCACTGGTGCAAAGTCGTGTTGAAACAGGAAGGGGCCATCCCCAAACTGTTCCCACAAAGTTGTGAACATGAAATTGTCCAAAATGTCTTTTGGACTCCTTAAGAGTTCCCTTCACTGGAACTAAGGGCCAAGCCCAACCCCTGACAACACCATAACCCTCCCTCCACCAAACTTTACACTTGGCACAATGCAGGCACAATCAGATGGATGATTTGTCACTCCAGAGAACACATCTCCACTGCTCTAGAGTCCAGTGGTGGCGTGCTTTACACCACTGCATCCGACGCTTTGCATTGCACTTGGTGATGTAAGGCTTGGATGCAGCTGCTCAGCCATGGAAACCCATTACTTGAAGCTCTCTAAGCGCTGTTGTTGTGCTAATCTGAAGGCTACATGAAGGAGGTCTTTAGCTATTGTCTCTGCAGACAGCTGGTGAATTCTGCACACTGTGCGCTTCAGCATGCGCTGACCCCGCTCTGTCATTTTACATGGCCTACCACTTCATGGCTGAGTTGCTGTCATTCCCAGCTGCTTCCACTTTGTTATAATACCACTAACAGTCGACTGTGGAATATTTAGTAGCAAGGAAATTTCATGGATGGACTCATTGCACAGGTGGCCATCTATCACGGTTTTTGGAACACCTGCATCCAATGATATGGCGGGGTGTCCCAATACTTTTGGCAATATAGTGTGTGTATGTATATATATATATATGTTATTTTAGTTTATTTTCTATATTTTTTTTTTACCCTTTTTTAACAGACGTTTTACACTTTTTAAAAAATGTAATTTCTTTATTTAGAAGAGTATGTACAACTTTTTTGGGCATACTTCTTTTGTGGGTCACAGAAGTGCAGTTACGTTTGCTCTTTGCTATCGCCTGCTATCAGCTGACATTACAGAGCTGCTCTAGACTCTGGAAGGATCCTGACCATGTTTTTGGAATCCACCCAGCTGCCTGATTGACCACTGGCTTCAGCTCTCAGCATGCAGCTGAGAGCTGAAGCCAGCTGCGATCACCTCTTTCCAGCCCAGCGCTCCAGTGAATGCTTGAGGGGCAGAGCAGAGAGCAGTGACTGACAGTCAATGCCCTCCACTCTGAACAGACTGAGAACATCATACTTATGCTGCAGCTTCAAAGTATGAAGGTTTATTTTTTATGTACCCCACACTTCTTTCATTTTTTTGCTATCACAAGGCAGCTAACAAACACCCTGTTCGATAACATTGGGCAGGTGACTGGTCCTTTTTATGGAGATATATGGGGTCTATTAGACTCCCCTCCCCTAATGTCTTTCCTACCCTCTATTGTAGGTAATCAAGCACAGGTTGTGCTTGGTTAGCGTTATCCTTGGCTACAATAGCTGAGGAATGACAGCCCTGAACCCGGAAGTGACATAATACATGTTGCTTATGGGTCTATTAGTTGCAGGAGAGATCGGGGAACTGATGCTCTAACTAGACCCAGACAAAGGGAGAGCCCAGGAACCACCACAGGCACAACTGAGGTATGGGGGGCTTATACCTTTAGAACTGTGTAAAAGTGATTAATTTTAAATAATAGTGAGTCACCTAAATCACTATTATTTAAAAGCTCTTTGCCAGGTGTATCCCGCACCATTTATAAATGTACATTTGCAAAGAAGGGGTGGATAGTACTGGGATAGGGAGGAACCTGTCGGCATTTATTATTTTCCTTTGCAATCAGTAGGAGAGAAATAAATGGAAATCAACCCAGTGGTATCAAACAGTAACCAAACAGCTAAACCATCCCTAATCAGTTAAAAGAGAAGTATGGGCTGTAGAAAAATAAAACATTATACTTACCGGATGATACATTGATCCGATGCGGCATCTGTCCCCACTGGCTCTGCACAGAGAACAGAGAGTAATTAAGGACCACTGATGCTCAGTTCTCTCCTCTGCTTTGAACAGACAGAACTTTTGGACCCATATTGGTGATCCACGGTATACTGGTGACATTCTCCCTAGCAATGACTGTCAGTCACCAGCTCTCTGCTGTGCCCCACCAGTGCTCACTAAGGTGTTGGGCTGTGGAGACAGCAGGAGGGGCTGGCCCACGCTCTGTCTGAGCCAGGTGCTGGTCTGGGCTTTTGGGTGAATCCCGACCATATATGGTCAGGATCTTTTCAGAGCCTGGACTGGCTCTGTAATGTCAGCTGACAGCAGGCTGAAGTCCTCTGTCAGCTGGAAATGGTCACAGAAGTGCAGAACTAACTGCACTCCAGTGATCCATAGGAGAAGTATAGCCAAAAAAGCTTTGGCTATACTTCTCCTTTAATAAAATTACCTTTATTCCTGTCTGTTCTTGTCGCAGAAATTTTGCTCACTTCCCATACCATTGATGAGGGAAAATCTCCCAAATTGGGACACAACAATGAAAACCTGACAGACGTTCTAACTTTTGCCCTTGACCAGATTGCTACATCTCTATTTTTTATTATACACAAGATATTTTGCATTTCATCTACATTATAGTTTTTTCGGTTTTCTGTAGTACATCATAGTTCGCTGTTAAAAGGCTATCTGCAGTTTCTGGTTTAAATCAGAAAGTCTGGTGTAAAATGGACATTATAGTTAGGTTCATGCTTCTTTTTTATAATAACATTCCTAAAAGTTATTTGATCTTTATGGTGTATTTTATTCCTACAATGTAAACTAGACGCTTATTTTTTCGGTTCATAATGTTCCTGTGCAACTAGGAAGCTAATGCTGGAAGAAATACAACATTTATGTATCCTCATGTAAGGTCTAAAAGGGCAATGTCTCTCATCTCATAAAATGTACTGATTCATAATATATTTCCTTCCTGCTATAATAGTGGAAAGTAAACTGACATACATCCTTTGCATAGCAGGATGACGGTGTTAAGAAAGTGAAAACAAATCCCAGCATTTCAAACAGTATTGATAATAAGTTATGTCTGTTATGTGAACTGCTAGCTAGTTTTTTTCAAAGAAAATGCTAGTTGGCTGGCTGTGAATGATTTGAATAAGCTTCAAGACCTAGTGCATGCATGCTATAAATGTGTGCCAAAAATGTGTCAAAATTACTGATCTCTGTATTTGTTCCAGGACAGATTCACAAGTTTTGACTGGAGCCGTGGCTTAAAAGCATTACATTTTGTCTCTTTAGAGACCCATTCCCATAAAAACTTTGCACAGGTTAGATATCGTAACAGATGGATTGCAAAATAAAAATCTATATTAGCTAAAAAAAGTGATGTATATTATCACCTTGATATGTGGAAGCCATATGAGCATCTTAAAAAGTTTAAAGGAAGTTGCAGGTACACGGGCCAAAAAAGCTTCAAAATAAATGTATATGTCAAGGGGAACAGCTTCGGGTTTAACCTCAGCATGTATTAAACATAGTCAAAACTGTTGTGAAGTAGAAGTAGTGGTAATCAATTCAAAACCTGCTGGTAGGATAGGTGGACAGGATAATTACTAATTGCCACAAATGTAAAATAGACCACACAAACAAATCACCACCTCTATTACCCAGCTGGAATTGATGACACAGCAGATAGCTACCATGGTGTAAAGAGAATGAAACCTAGTTCTGTGAACAATAGGAAAAGTAAGTCATCTCTTACACAATTTCCTACATTTGGGCAGTGACAGGTTTGGATAATGCCAAACAGTGCCTTCAACACAACAACAACAAATTCAAATAAAAATGACTGCATTTCTGGAAAAAGGAAAACTGGAGGTAATTAGGATCAATGCTATGTTGGCGTACAAAAATTGCTTTCCTTTTTTGGCCAATCCAGAGTGCTCAAAGTGGGGACACTGGGGGGGGGGGGGGTTTCTAAAACTGGTGCACACAGAATTTGGTGCAGCTGTGCATAGTAATCAATCAGATTCCCGGTTTTATTGTCAAAGGTTTGCATTGGTTGCTATGCACCATATTCTGTGTGCACCAGTTTTAGAAACTTGCCATTCTCACTGCTTTTTATGAATAGAATCAGCGGCAGTGTAATGTACAGACACAGATTACTATGAGCATACTTTAACTTTCTGAATGCACTGTGCCCCCACCCCCCCCCACCCCCACCCCAGTACGACATGTTAGGACCCTGTTGGATGAATATCTTCATTGCTGCCAGTGTTCTTGCAACCAATAGCATAGGGTTGAACATAACACTTTATAATATCTCCTAGACTGTAAGCTCCAAGGAGCAGGGCCCCCTCCTTTCTCTCTTGTATTGTCTCCCGTTATATTGTAAAGCGCTGAGCAAACTGTTGGCGTTATATAAATCCTGTATAATAATAATCATAATAGTAACCTCCCCTTAGAGGTGAAGCCTGATGGGTAATAAAGATTAATTAGTAGTACATCAGATCTGCTTTCCTTGTGATTGACAGTGGACGGTAATGAGTAGATTCAATAACCGCTGGACAGCCTTCTAGTAACTATGGAAGTTGCCCTCTGTAAATAATAAGGAAAGCAATCCTAAAGGGGAGCTAGTCTCTCAGCATCTCCTGTCATGCTGTGACCACTGTCAGTCTAAGGGGAGGCAGACCTGATAAGGAACTAGTGTCTCAGCATAATCTGTAAGGCTCAGCTCATTTAACAGCAGACTGGTGGAACCTAAAGAAATCTGTCACGTAGTCAAGAGGTTTGGCCATTGCACCTGTCTTTGTGACAGGCACAGCAGTCGTGCAGGGAGCTTGGTAACAGTGAAGCTGTGATTTTATCAGATGCGGCATTACTGAATTTAACTGAGGACTGAGTGTCCAGTATGGACATTCCAACTTCAGTGCCACCTACCACGTTTCTGATATGTACATGAATTTTTTGCAGGTATAGACATAATTCATATAAACTGGAGAAACTCTTTATGAATCCCACTGAATGTCTCCCATTTCATGGGACTAAATAGGTTTAGAGATTGCTCTACATGGTATATAATAGTCAAGGATCAGCCATTTAACAGGACATGGTGCATTCCTGTGGTATAAACACTAATCCCTCATGATGTCCCCGTTATCCAGAATGGGAATGCTCCCATAGACTATGATGACCGTGTTAAACTGAAAGTAATTTCATAAACCAGGATTAAGTCAGATGTGTTTCATGGTCTCCCCAATCACCAGCCTTTATGTGAAATTTTGGACTGTGAAAAAGACTTCCTCTTCATTTTTCACTCAATGTACTTAAGGCTGCATGAGAAATGGTAGCAAAACCTGCTATATACAATAACACACAAAAACGCACAAAATAACTCTTTGTCTTTTGCCTTGCCTCTTCCCTTTTAGGTCCCCAATATCAGTATGTTTCTAAGTGCTTCTGGTATTTTTTTCACCTCTTTTATATGCACATGCGTAGTAAAATTTTAAAATAACATGGAATGTATTTCACAGCTTATGCTCTTTGTAGATGTCATATGTGGTTTATTGAAGTTAATATTTATACATGCAGAAGAAGCTTGCAGATGTGATCAATTAAGAAATGTATGCCCAGATGCAGGGCATTTATGGCTGCAGGTCTATAATGAAGTGGCACAGGATAAATAACACCCTGCTCTTTGCAGCATTGCATGTGTAACTTATCTAATAATAAAATGTGCATTGTGGTTCCGGCAAGCTTTTTTCATCTAGCATTTGTTTAACCTCTAGTTTACCTCAAACCACAAGAGACCATGGTATTCTCAACCAGTTTGTAGTAGTCGGCTATCACTCCCACATGGCATGCCAAGCTTGAAGTACTCAACACCGGTGCTTCGGCTTGTTTGTAGCACACATGAAAAGCCTTATTCACACTATGTGTTTCTCTAGGGACCTTGTTTACTCTTGGTCCCTATTAAATAGGGGATTAAAATAGTTTGTGGATATTAAGCCATTTGAGCTGGCAGCTGTGTTCTTCTCTCAGGTATAAGGGCAGCTTTTAATAGGCATCTCTCAAAAAAGATATATGAGAAAACACTCTGCTGCTCATCCAAATATGCAAAGAATCCACCTCTGTCATCAACATCTCTCTTTCCAGCAGGGCTAATTGAAAAGACTATCTGCATGTAGTGAGTTTAGTGGGGCCCAGAGATTTGACCCAGCAGCACTGATTGATGTCCCTCATGCAGTACATACTGTATTGCTTGGAGACATTGTTCCCTGAGTGAAAAGGAGCCAGCTTTCACATCCAATTAATGATTCATCAGGAAATAATTGCACTTTGCATAAATTAGGGCCACCATCATTTTTTTAAACAAAGAAGAAGTGATTTGGCTGTACTTTCCAAGGACTCTGGTGACACTAACTATACAGGGCACCAATATGCGTTGAATTCAATCAGATATATGTACATTTTACTGAACATACGACAAGCAACATGTACCTTTGGTCAGTAGGAAACAGACTCTTTAATGTAGGGAGTCTCATTGTTGTCAAGCTGGGGAGCCCCAAACCAAATTCTAGGGCCCTAAGGTGAGCTTCTGAACTCTAATTTGTAGGAGTAAATACCATAAGGATTTTTATTAACGTCCTATTAAATCACCTGATGTATTGGAAGCTTTATAGCCAGTTGACACATTTAAAGTTGATTTTATTTTCGCTGGGAACCAACTGTTCATACATTGAAGAGTGTTAATAAATTACTAACCATTGATCGATCCATGAGTAACCCACATTTTTTTTCTTTCCTCTAGCACCCATAACACAAGGCTCTGGAGTCAGTTTTCCAATTGGAGAGCCACTAAGCCAGCCCTACTATCATGACATGAACTCAGCAGTCAGCTTACAGAGGTCACTGTCCTCTCCACCTAGCAGGTAAGTGGTGGAAAGTAATACCATGGCAGCAAAGCTCTTAGAAAGTATCTGTGACTATATGTCTTCACATAAGCTCATTTTAAACTATTCATGCAGACTGTAAGTAACACTACAGCTTTATTTAAATAAAGGTGAAACTCTTTGCTTGCTCAAACAGAAATGCAAACCTGCCAAATGAATCCAAGTAACTGTTGTACTGCTTACCCATTAAATTTTTTTCATTTTGTAATAATCTTGTGTTTAAAGCTGAATTCCAGGCAAGCAGCTAGATGCACAGTTCAGACACATATGGGAACTTGTTTACATGCCAAAAGGTTTTTCCGTCTTTTCAACAACTCTTGCAATCAGCTTATCCTTGCTGAACAACATAGCCAGGTTCCCAATCAACCCAAGACCTCCGTGCATGCCACACTACAATTGAGAAGTGAAGCCTTGGTCTAGGACTCTCCCCAGCCTATGCTTAGGCAGTAAATGAGCAGCAGCACATTTATGAAATTAAAACTCTTTTCTCACCTCCTCTCTGAATGCCCTCAGTGCTAGATGGACAGAACAGCAGAGGTTTACATAGCTGGATTATATTCTCCCCATTTCAGAATTGCTGTGTAGATTATCTGATGTTGATATCAAGAAAGATTCAGATACTCAAATATATACAGTATGTATGATGATGAATTTTAACTAATTCAGGAGCAGAGTTAACAGTGGTTTGTAATATCTTGCTGGAGTTCACCTTTAAAGAACAACCAAAGGCAAATACAGTATATGCTTAATAGAATTTTTTAATGAATATATATTTTTTCAAATGACACCTTTTTCAGTTAGTATAATAATATAAAATATTTTACAGATGCTATTAGCATACAAATAGCCATCCCTTTAAAAAAAATATTATATTCAAATACCCAGCAATCCTCCAAAAAATCATCTCACATAAAATAATTCAACCGTCCTGCATAAAATCATTAAGCAATATAACTTACCAAAATATTGTAAATATTCCTCCAGTGAATCCTTCAGATCATCTTAAATTGGTCTGTACTTCCACGTCAGCATGAAAAATGAAAAATACTTTTTGTCCCTGGTACTAGCTGACCTGCCCTCATAAAATTCACGAAATGTTCCACAGCTGTTCCGCTCTCTGTATTAATTATTGACAATTTAGGCTTATAGTGGTATCATAAACAGTTGGGTTGGTTTAGTAAACCCAGATAGGTTGTTCACTTTGCAAGGGAAGTTGCACCATGCAAGAGAATTTTCCCCAGAGCTCAGTGAATGTAGAGAAGCTTCACTTTGCAAAGAATACCCAATATTGTGCAACGAAATTAAAAAAAATATATATATTTTTTTGCTTGCATGTGATCAGATGATGAAAGTCTGCAGAACCTCTCCTCATTCACTAAGCTCTGGGGAAACTTCTCTTGCAAAGTGCAACTTCTTTTGCAGAGTGAACGGTATATTTGCATTTAGTAACTTGGCCTCGGTATATCAGTTGATTTGTAACTCAGGGTGGGTGTCATAGTACAAAGAACAGGCAGTAGACAGGGCAATGGCGAAGAATCTGAAGTCACTGAAAAGCATTTTCATCTTTTTTGTGCTGTGTATTCATACAAAAGCAACAAGGGTGGACAAGAGTATATATGGGTAAAACAATTTGTGTGAGTGTATGTACACTTCAGTTCATGTTTCTTTTTTGGCTGGAGCTTCCCTTTAACAATGCCACTTTTGCAGTATATCTTATTTATAAATTATCTGAATTTTTAACATTAGGAACATATGTCAGCAGTGCTCGATTATGATCCAATATTCGTAAACTGTTAGTAAAGATATTTTATTTATCTGTATAGCTGTGACAGTCCCAGAACAACCTGGCTTTATTTATCTTAGTGTCTGAAGAGTGAAATGTGTCAGTTGTGTTGCTCCATAAGACTTTCTCTTTCATTTTCCCATACTAAGCAAAGAACATAGGATTGGTTAGAGGTGGACAACATAAACTGAAACTAACTTTCTCTCAAACACTTTAATCAAGAAGGCAGTCAGTTTGTGAAAACCTTTTGGTCTGGGATCATTGTGCGTACAATCTTTTTTATACTTCCAATAATGATCTTAGTTACATTAATTAGTATCAAGTTATTAAAACTTCAGTTAATTACTTGACTATGGTTGCAAAAATAAGCTAACTTGTTCAACCGTTTTTTGTAAAGCACTAATTTAGAAAGCAGGGAACTTCATACACTATTCAAGGGTTAACATTCAAGGCCAACAAACTTACTTTGGTTTTCAGAGACAGCATAAATCATTCAAGGTCATCTTCTAGCTCTAAGTGGTGGAAGGTTCATCCTTAACAAAGGAAATGGCTCTTTAAAGAGTAGACCATTAATATTTTCCTACTAACTTTGCTAATTCTTATAACAAATATAAAAGAGAAGGCATACAAGGCTAGTTTAAGTGAAACATACAAAGGCTGTTTATCAACATATTTTTTACTATTAAAGTAGAATTTGCCAATTTTTATTTCAATTTTTTTTTTAATTTTTATTTATATGTTACCATGTTCTGGACCAAAACTGCATTAGCTTTGAGAGATTAAACTAGAGAGATATGATTATTTAAAAGAATCATGTTCATATCAGTTCAGTTTCCCTTTAAAGTGGTTGTAAACCTCAGACATGAAATATGAGCAAAGCATATCCCTCTATAGTGTATACTTATCACAATCCAGAGCACTAAGGGGTTTATTTACTAAAGCTGGAGATGTCCAAAATCAGACTCCCTTCTGCATAGAAACCAATCAGCTTCTAACCTCAGCTTGTTCAATGAAGCTTTGGCAATGAAACCTGGAAGCTGATTGAAGGTTTCTATGCAGAAGTGAGTCTGAATTTGCACTCTCCAGCTTTAGTAAATAAACCCCTAAGTGTCATTTCTGTCATCTGCTTCGTTCCTCTGTGTCACTTCTGACAAGTTTTCTTGACACCAAGAAAAAAAAGGTGACAGAGGCGGTAGCTCCAGCACACAGCTTGTGATTGACAGCCTCAGCTCTGTTCCTGTGTGCTATGTGAAGGAGGTGTGTCCCTTCCCTCTAGTCAGCTCTCAGAGCTTTCCTCACTGAGCCCTGCAATGTGTAATTTCAGCTCCCTGCCCCCTATTTCTGACAGCTCAGATAAGCTGTGTAAATCTAGCACTTTGAATAGATTTAGAGATGAGAAGACTGCAGATAGACAGGTACAGCCTATATAGGAGGATTTGTTTCATTTCTGCGTATCACCTGAGACTAGACATTTCACTGGGTATACGTATGGGTTTACAACCACTTTAAGGTAATCTATTATTAAATTAAGTGAAGGGAAGTGTGTTTTATGTTTGATAGCAGGCAGCTCAAAGTATATGCGCATACTTTGTCTTTTCAAAAGAGCTCACACATTGCCCCCAAACCCCGTTTCATGCATTTTTGGATCTAAAGCCCAACTCTGGGCAAATATTTTATTTTCCTTGAAGTGGGCCCGTGCCCGCACTGCACAGGTCAACTGCTCGTTTTTTTTCTAGGGGTCAGCAGAAAGCTCAGACTCACATGATTCGCTGATGCTCCGGAAAACCATGCTCTCCCATAGTCCAGCGGGTGAACTGTTCCTGTCTAGGGAGCTTGCTCTGGGCATGCTGACGTCAGGAACAGTCTCAAGACTGCAGGAGCATGGGGGTACCGGACCGGTCTTGTGCAGGGAGGATTGACAGATCAGGTAAGTATATCTCTGCTCTCTTCTCTTCCCTAGAACAAAACAAGCAGTTAACCCATGCAGTGCAGGCACAGAACAAAAATGCCTGCAGTTCTGCTTTAAAATTCACATATAGCACACATCCTGTTTTGAAGATCCCCAGGGCATACAAGAGCACTTTCAATAATGGAGGAAGTTAAGTGAAGGCAACTTGACATGACTGCTGTTGGGTATAAAACATATTTTCATCCACTTTGTCTCCTATCTCACACACTGCCTCATCTAGGACCTGCAGTAGCCAGAGTCAACACCCAGGTGTTGATTTACTAAAGGCAACTAGGCTGTTCAGTTTGCAAGGGATTTTTCCCTTAGCTTAGCGAATGTGGTGACAATTCACTTTGCAAGGAATACGCAATCATATGCAAAGAAAATTAAGGAAAAAACTGTATTTTTGCTAGCACATGATTGGATGATGGATGATGGAAGTCAGCAGAGTTTTAACATACAGTCAGGTCCATAAATATTGGGACATCGACACTATTCTAAAATTTTTGGCTCTATACACCACCACAATGGATTTGAAATGAAACAAACAAGATGTGCTTTAACTGCAGACTGTCAGCTTTAATTTGAGGGTATTTACATCCAAATCAGGTGAACGGTGTAGGAATTACAACAGTTTGCATATGTGCCTCCCTTTTAAGGGAAAGAAGTGGAATGTTATGCAATGGCCAAGTCAATCACCTGACCTGAATCCAATTGAGCATGCATTTCACTTGCTGAAGACAAAACTGAAGGCGAAATGCCCAAGAACAAGCAGAAACTGAAGACAGTTGCAGTAGAGGCCTGGCAGAGCATCACCAGGGATGAAACCCAGCGTCTGGTGATGTCTATGCGTTCCAGACTTCAGGCTGTAATTCACTGCAAAGGATTTGCAACCAAGTATTAAAAAGTGAAAGTTTGATTTATGATTATTATTCTGTCCCATTACTTTTGGTCCCCTAAGAAGTGGGAGGCACATATGCAAACTGTTGTAATTCCTACACCGTTCACCTGATTTGGCTGTAAATACCTCAAATTAAAGCTGACAGTCTGCAGTTAAAGCACATCTTGTTCTTTTCATTTCAAATCCATTGTGGTGGTGTAAAGAGCCAAAAAATGTTAGAATTGTGTTGATGTCCTAATATTTATGGACCTGACTGTATCTACTAAGCTAATTGCAAATTCCTTGAAAATGAAATCCCCAGCAAAGTGAACAGCTTATTTGCCTTTAGTGCACCAACCCCTTTGCAGATTGCTATATGGAAATCTCTGTTACACAGAAGCAATAAGTGCTTGGTGCTGAACATATCAGAATAACTGCCTGCTGAATTCAGAGAAAAAGAAAAACTGACTTCTCTGACCTCCATATACTTCTTGTTTTGCCTAATAACGCTTAAAGTAGATCTAAACACAACTGTGATTGCATTTGGTTTGCATTTGGTTTGGTTTGCTAAAGCACTGTGTATAATAAATAATTGCCATTTTTTTCTTAAGTGCATTATTGTATCTCTCTGCTTCTGATTTCCTCTAGCTGATTTCTTAGTCAGTTTCTGTCTGCATGCACTTGCTCTAGAGTCTGCCCATAATATTACTTTGGAGCGTTGTACTGACAGTAACGAAGGTGGACTATGTCTACTCAATGTGTCTCAAAACAGGAGTGCATGTGAAAGGGTGAAGTGAAGTGTAAGAGCACAAGTGTAAGATAGTTGTCACCCATAGCAGGGAGTACTGGATCATGGACCTTAAAGCGGTATTAAACCCAAAAACAAAAATTTAATATATTGCAGCTTACCAATCATTAAATGTGGTGGCTGAATTAGTTTTCTTTTTTTTAGGGTTTGTCACCCTGTTTTCTCCTGGTGATCTGGCCAGTAACACATATCCTACATTAGAGTGCCCCTACTCTGGATGAAGGAGCACAGGGTTCACCTTTGGACAACAGCACTGTCAGTCTGGGGGAAGGGGAGTATTAGTTGTACTAGCAGATTTAAATACAGTAACAAATTAAAGCCAAATTTCAGCTATTACTTTATAAGCAGTTACAGCAAACTGTTTTTTTTTTTTCTTTCGTGATAAAGGTTTTACATAAATAAATAAAAACTGATCATTGATAGCACCCTTGTCAGTGGTAAATGGTTTGTCTCAACACCCAAAAATGCTTCATCTGCAGGACAACCTGTTCTTTTGAAAATCAACAGACTTACTGGCCGGATCACTATATAAATATATAGAAAGAAAGCCTAAAAAAGAAAACGAATACAGCCATCACATCCAAGAATTGTTACGCTGCAAATATAATAAATGTTTGACATTGGATTTAATAGTGCTTTACTGGCTAGATCACCAACTATTCCTTTAGGGAAAGCTGCTTATTTGAAATGTTAAAAACACCTTTTGAAATCAAATTATCATGTTAAAGTTTATACAAAATTTTAGCAATTGGGTTTTGATTTACTTTAAGTTCTTTAAAATTATGAAAATTGACTTGGTTCTAGGGGATATAGATGTACACACCAATATTTTTTTGTATTAACAGTAAAAGACCCAAGACAATTTCTATAGATGAAAACATGGAGCCAAGCCCAACTGGGGAATTCTATCCGTCTCCAAATTCACCAGCAGCGGGAAGTCGGACATGGCATGATAGAGATCAAAGGTACTAAATCATACTTATAATCAACTATTTGTTTAAAGATTTTATTTTTATTATTTCTCTCTTCTAATCAGAAGACTGTTTGGGGTGAGGAAAATGTAACTATATTTAAAGACATAGTACCACACAATGAAAATGTAGGGGTGATTTATTAAAAAAAAATAACTTGTACCTAGCATAGTGAATCTGTTTTTTCTTTAAAGAGTAAGTTCACCGTTTGACAAACAAATAATACATGCACATTTTTTGCAGGTAAAAAATGTACAATTATTATTTTTTGTTGCAGGAGCCTGTAAAACATTGCACCAATGATCAGCAGATTGCTAGTGCCATGCAGGTCTTCTGCAGACCTGTCAGTATATCTGCTTGGCCATGCAGGATGTACGGGCAAGCAGATATACTAACAGGAAGAATCATTAAAGTACCACAGAGCTCACACGTGCTGCCCACAGTGCCGTGGTAGTTCATTAAGAACTACAAGCTGTCAGCCGCTAAGTCTGTCAGGACCTGTAGTTTTCTCATTCACAGATTACTGTGAATGAGCGGCAAGTGCCTGGCGGAGCCCCATGTGGCCGCGTTGAAAAAGAAAAAAATTTGACAGCTAACTGGAGGAGAAGCTGTGAAAGTGTGAAAGTGTGTGTGTGTATGTGTTGGGGGGGGGTTGGGAGCCAGTCCATTCATGACATGTTACATGTTACACCCTGAATATGGATGTAACATGCAACATGTTGTGAAAGGTGAACTTATCCTTTAATCATCCGATCATGCTCATGTTTTATAATTATATTCAGCTATCTTGATAGTGACATATTTTTATTCTGCAGTTTTGGAGGGCAGTACATGTTAAAGTTTAAATGTTGCTTAGCCCCACAATCTTTATCCTGAGCAGTCATCTCAGTTGATTGACTTGAACTTGGCACTTTTTCCTTCAGAAACCTTAGCCTCAATGGGTGTTTGTCAGCTCAACGATTTCCTTATAGATTATTTTGAGATTTTAGGCACATTGGTCTCACTGTTGTCAATAACTGCTGTACCACCTTGACCTGGTGGAGGCAGTGTTCAGTTCAGGATTGTCATTAGAAACAAATGGAATGATGGAAAGGAGTACAAAGCTAAGTGTGATTCCCTCCCCTCCGATACCTTAATGTTTTGTACAGTCTAAGATATTATTTTCAGAATGAAAATGGGACTTCATTACCATGTTTACATTAAAGATACAACATTGTACATCAATTAAAGTCTAGATCCACCCAAAATTTTAGTGGCATTGAATCACTTGTTTCTGTAAGTCATGACATGAGTACAAACATTTTGAAGTTTGCATACAACATAGGTCTTGCTCTCTTGCAGCTGGATTTCTTTAGTACTGCTTGACCTTGAAGAAGGGGGTACATTTCGAAAGCTTGTCCTAAAATATTGTTTGATAGTGTAAATAAAAAAAGCATCATGCAGAGTACTCAATTGTTTCTTTTGCAAGTGCACTAATATGGCTGCAATCGCCTCAAGCTCAATGTTTTGTTTATTTGTTAATAATTTACATAATGGAAAATTCAGCTAAGGAGCATGGCAGTGGCCACTGTAGATGGTGAAAATGGGTATTCTAATGGTAGTATCTCTTCTCTAAAGACCACAGATTATTCTAAAAATCAGCACCCAATTCTGATTGGCAAGGGCTGGGCAGAGTAACAGGTTTGGTTGATGGCACGCATCAGGAGTTAATGCTTACTTGCACTGCACTCACTGGTACCCATACCTGATGTTGTAGCTGGTCAAAAGCCTGCTATTTCAGCATATAGGGGAAAAAGTAACAGCTACCCTTTTTCCTGCAGTACAGTGTTTGGTACTTGGCAATCTTCCACTATGAGTGCTGTCATTTGAGAAGGAAAAGCATAGGCCTAAGCAAGTTTTGAAAATTAAGTCTTAGTTGTTGATGGATTCGAATGGTGGACAGCATAGCAAAAGAAAATGGAAGCATAGACTCTTCATTGGAGCCTGCTATCTAATGAACCTAGACCAAGCAAAGTATCTTTTGTTATTAAAGTACTGCAAATGTGAAGCCTAACAATTTAATTCTCTGATTTGCTCTCCTTTGGTCTGTTTATTATACCATTAGAAGCATTTATTATATTATTACAATATTAGTCCAAACAAGGTGTGTGTTGTCAGCTCACAACAGGACTTAAACTGATATTGAAGGAAATGTTAAAAACTTATATTATACTTACCTGCTCTGTGCAGTGGTTTTGTACAGGACAGCCTTAATCCTCCTTTTCTCAGGTCCACCGCTGGCACTTCTGGCCCCTCCTTCCTGCAGTGTGCCCCCAGAGCAAGCAGCTCTGGAGAGCAACTAATGCGTGTCCATTAACACAGAGCTGTGGCTCGGCCCCACCCCTTCTCTCTTTTCAGTGGCTCACTGGTTGTGATTGACAGCAGTGGGAGCCAATGACTCACACTGCTGTCTCAGCCAATGAGCAGGGAAAGTCCCTGGAGAGTCGTGGCTCTTGTGCACATCGCTGAATTGTGATGGGGCTCAGGTAAGTATTGGGGGAGCTGGGGGGGGGGGCTTGATGCACACAGAAGGTTTTTTTACCTTCATGCATAGCCTTTACAACCACTTTAAAGTGTATTTCCACTTTTGCAGGCATATTTGAGAAAATTCCACTATATGTGTGTTCCCATTCACACAACATACCTACTTTTTTAAAATATTCCCTACTTTTTAAATGTTTCTTTGGAGACGGTGTCATGGCAGACTGCAAGCATTTCTGAACAAGCCTGTGGTGAATCTGTCTCCATAGACAGGATTAGGACAGGCTCAGCTTATTTCAATTGCCATACAAAGGAGAAACCAAGCTTCTAATTTTTTAACCTTTTGTTAAGGCAGACAGGGGGTTATTTACTAAAGCTAGAGAGTGCAAAATCTGGTGCACCTCTTCATAGAACCAATAGACTTCCAGGTTTTATTGCTAAAGCTTAAATGAACAAGCTGAAATTAGAAGCTGATTGTCTGCCATCCACAGCTGCACCACCAGTTCTGAGTACACCAGTTTTAGTAAATCCCTCCAACAGTGTTCCAATCTCGTTCATAACTGATAATGAGATGAGACCAGCACAGCCATGGTTAATTATGGCAAAACACAGCTCCCTCATAAGAAGAACTTAGTAGGATGTTTCAGTGCCAGAGTTATCAGAAAGAAGCATCTTTCTTGTCTTCCCCCCAGCCCGGACCCCACCCCCCATTGACTTCTCCATCATGTCCAACAACGCCACCATCAAACCCGCCCCGCAGGCCAGAGTACTTGGTGTCATTCTGGACTCCAACCTATCCTTCCAGCCCCAGGTCCAATCTTTAACAAACTCGTGCAGACTCCACCTCCGCAACATCGCCAAAATCTGCACATTCCTAACCCCAGAAACCACTAAACAGCTCATCCATTCCCTCATCATATCACGACTCGACTACTGCAACTCCCTCCTTACTGGCCTGCCTCGCCACTGGCTATCCCCGCTTCAGTCGATCCTGAATACGGCTGCCAGACTCATTCACCTTTCCAACTGCTCCGTTTCCGCCACCCCCCTCTGCCAATCCCTCCACTGGCTTCCGATTGTGCAACGGATCAAATTCAAAATCCTAACACTGACGTACAAAGCTGTCCATCATACTGCCCTGAACTACATCACTGACCTAATATCCAAGTACCGCCCAGCACGCACACTCCGCTCCTCACAAGACCTCCTTCTCTCTAGTTCCCTGGTCTCCTCCTCCCATGCCCGCCTCCAGGACTTCTCCAGGGTGTCACCTATCCTCTGGAACTCCCTGCCCCAACCCATCAGATTATCACCTACTCTCCTCTTTTTTTAGGCGCACCCTGAAAACCCACCTCTTCAGGGAAGCCTACCCCACCCCCTGCTAACTTGCCGTCCTCCTCCACTCTTCCTACCACTCCATCCCCCACAGCTTTCTCCTCCTGTGCCACCATCCCCTCCCTCCTAGATTGTAAGCTCGAAAGAGCAGGGCCCTCGATCCCCTCATGTTTTGCATTGTATTGGTATTGTTCTGTCACATGTTCTGTCCCCCTTTGTAATGTACAGCGCTGAGCGAACTATTGGCGCTTTATAAATACTGTATAATAATAATAATAATTTGTTAAGCAGCAAATTTTATATTATTTAAGTGAATGAGAACATGTAATAAACAAAAATTAGGTGTTATCCAAATTATTCACTTAAAATGGAAATTCATTTTGAGAACTGAATTTATTTCTGGTTGATCAACCAGTGTTTTTCTGTACTTGTAGAGTCTTTAAAAGGACAAAACACGGGGCAATGTGCATGTATTGCAGATATGTACTGAGCATGTTTTTTTATGAGCTTTAAATTAGATGGATTAGCTATTCATCTAGGTTATTGTCATTTGTGATAACAGAAGTATCTTTCTCACACTAGAGGGTATGTTTGTAATGCCGTAAATATGACATTCACCAAACATTCCTGCAGGTGTATATGTAATTTTAATTACAGTGATTTACCTGCAGTGAATGATTGGTAAATGTCTAATTCAATGCTTTTTAAATATGCACCTCGGAGTTACTGTTTTAGCATTCTCATTTTTTGTCACTGCCAATAGCAAAATTGCTATGATTTCAGTTAATTTTCTTCTGCAGACACAAATCAGTTCAGATATATTACCCTTTTTTAGGTGGCTGAATGCACAAGAGATGATTATCATTTTTTTTTAGAATTATGAGACATTTATGGAAATCATGGTTTTGCATGGCCATTGTTACCTGACATATAATCTATTTACATCATGCTTTTATGCACTTTTTTTTGCCTTTTTCAGGATTAGTGAAACTCTACACTTTTATGACTTGGAATTCCTTAAATAATATATAATACAATATTTGACTTTGTAACACCAATAAACATGTTTTCATTTGTTAGTGCAGGCAGAAAGACAGACGCATTGAAAGTAATTGTGTTTCTTTCAGTAAAGCTCCTT